GTCAAGATGAAATTGGAAAAAACAGAAAGAGAGATTAGATGTTGTAGGAAACACAGTGGAAAAAGAAATGAGAAATTCAAACAGAATGGAAAATAAACATTTTAAAAGATTACAAGAAAATGATAGAGACAGAAGATAGCAGCAGTGGAGATTCAACCTATTCGTAATAGGAATTTTTGAAGAAGAAAACAAACTGTAAAATTGAACTAATATTCAAGGATACAATTAATTAAACTACTAAAAACAACAACAAAACTTGAAACTATATAACAAATGGGCATCCTGCAAACATTTATCCAGAGTGGTCAATAGGAAGTTTTATTCCAATAGAATCAACACACTTCAAAGAAAAAGAGCAGCTTTTTTGGACATGCTGTTAAAAAATTGAGTCATTTAGAAGGAGAAATTAGCTAACTTCAGATTTTTTTAATATTCAACATCCTAGGACCATGGGACCATATCCACAAGATAGTCAAGGAAACAAAGTATCAGTAAAGAATTTTATAACCAATGAAACTTAAGATGCAAGGCTACCAACAAATAATTCTAAAAAATTAAACACTCAAGAAAAGTTCCCATGAATGCTTCTTGAGAAAACTAACAGAGGACAGACTTCAGCAAAAAGGAAACAACTGAGAAAACAACTGCAAAACACTGTCTCTATTTATGAGAAGAAAATGTGGGAACAGAACAGAATATAAATGCCATATGAACTAACGATGTAGGAATGGTACCACCACCAAAACATGGGGGGAGAAGAGGAAATTTGATAGGCAGTTGATTAAAATTGCTGCTTGGCTGGGAATTAAATAATATTCTCCAAAGCTGACAACCCAAATAGAAATACTATGGTACATAATGATACAGTAATAAGCAAACAAACAAACAAACACACAAATAAATAAATAAATACTAGGGTAGTTAATAATAAAAAGGTAAATTCTCAGAAGGATAATCTTATTGGCTAATCATAAGGGAAAGGGGAGAAAGGGAGAAAAAGGAAAAGGAAACATTGTTCATAGTAAAGAAGTAAGAGGTATGTCTAAATAAAGAGGACTAGGGACATTGTGTACCTTTATAACTTTAAAGGTAACTCAGAATAAAAATACAAATCTTTCCAAATCTAAATGAAACTACATATAAAACAAAGCAAAGGTAACAAAGCATAACAAAGCACATAGTGAAAGACTTGAAAAAATTAACATGGGACAACAAAATAAAACATGGGACAACAAAATAATATGACACATAGATTAAATGAACCATCAGATTACTAAGTGTAAATGGATTTAATTTTTATATTCAAAGGAAAACATTTTCAGAATCAGTCACTAAACAAATCAAGCTCCTTCCTTTTTACCTAAAACACAGTGTTTCAAAGTAGATGAAAATAAAAGTATGGCCAAGAGTATATCAGACAAACGCAAACGGAAAGTGGGGAAAAGGAGCTTGGTCTCAACAGAATATGGTAGAAGTTATACTAAAAAAATTAATAAATCAGATGTAGAAGTTCTCTTTATAATTCAAAAAGGAGCAATAAATACCCATTGAATATATGAATTTTATGATTTTCTATATAAAATAGCCATAGCATCAGTATTCATAAAGCTATGACCCCACAAGGTCTAAGGTCACATAGATATACAGTAAGAGGCTTTCATTATCTCAGTCTATGACAGATTAATTGTATAAAAATAAACAAGGATATAGAGCATATAAATACCATAAACAGTGAAGTTCTGCTGATTGGTATTAAATTCTGTATGCTGAAACATCTTTGTAAATGCATTTCAATAAAAATTGACTGCTTATTAGGCTAAGTTTCAAAAATAGAAAGTGCAGATTAGACAGCAATCTCTGATCACAATGCTACTAATATTCTTATATTTTAATAACAAAGAAAAAACTCTTTTAGCTATAAATTAAAAAAAATTTTCTCCTTAATCATTTAGATCAATGGGAAAATACAAGTAAAAATTGCATAGCTTCCAGAAAACAACAAAAATGAAATTATCATTCATCAAAGTCTATGGAACACAGCTAAAGCAGAACTCAGAATTTGTTGGTTAAATGCTATAATGAACAAAGTACTCCTCTTCAGAAATTAGAAAAAGAATAAAATACACCAAAACAGAATAGGAAAAGATCACTATTTCATTAATATAAATGTGGAAATTAATGATATAGAAAACAAAAATAAAAGAAAGGTAGACAAATCCAAAGGCTGTACTTTTGAAATGACCAGTAATAATACTGAATTAAGAAAAAATAGATCCAAATATTCAAAATCAAAAAATTATATAGGGAACCACAGAAATAGAAAAAAAAAAGAATTGTAAGGAGTATTACATGATGATCTCTGGGAAATGCAGTTGAAAGCCTAGGAGAAGGTTGTTATTTCATAGAAAAGTAAACATTTTAAAGCTGATTCAAAAAGCAGAAGAAAATTAGAATGTATCAGATAACATGAAAGATTAGAAAAGCGAATGAAAACTGTTAATAAAAAAAGCCAATATGATAAGTTTGGTTTACAGCTGAGTTTTATCTAACTTTTGAGGAAAAAAAGATAATTCTAATGGTATTTGAACTGTTCTAGACCATAGGAAATAATGAACCTTAAATATTGTGGTCTGATAAAGATAAAGATAAAGTAAAAGGTAAAGTATAGTAAGTGAAATACCACACTCTTAACTCATAAATATTGATGCAGTAACAAGATATCAAAAGAATAATATATAACTATCAGGTCAATTTTATTTTAGAAATGCAAGGATGGTTCAATAATAGGAACTTTATTGAACAGTAAATGCTCAAAGACATTTGATTTGTAAAAAATCCCTGCTATTTATCATAAAAATTCAAATAAAAAATAGAATTGAAGGAAATATATATGTATATATAAAGAAATATGAAAACACATATATGTGTTCTAAAGTTTCAATTAACTCTTTCCAATAGTATTTCCTCTTAATAGAATCAGAAATTTGAGGTGGTAGATAGCAGAAGGTATTATTAAATGAAAGAAGAGATTTTCTTTAGGTAAGGAGCAGCCCTTGATATCATACCAGATAAATGGGGCTTTTATTTTGTGTGTGTCTATGTGGTTTCCCAGAATGATACTTTTCCCATACTTTCTGACTATATGTGCTGTGAACATTGTGATTTTCACAAAAGCAGTGTTTCTTCCATAGTTTAGTCCTTAGATTGGGAGAGGTAGGTAGCATTGGGCAAGAGTACCCAGAGTCACAGACTGAACATGGTGTTTTTCAGGAGTATAAATTTTCATTGAAACTTGAGAATGGGAATAGTTAACTGAGATTTAGCTGGTAATGCATATTTTATATTAAAACAAACATAGCCATATTATGGAGTAAAATTAAGGTTTTTAATAATTATGAAACATGAAAAATCAAAAGATATTTTTTATGTTTTTATGGGGCTTCTTTAAAATATTTCCCCCAATCCTTGGAGATGCATATAATTTTAAGCTGCTGTTAGGAATATTTTGGTGGAAAAGTTTGAGAGACCCTGTCATACAACATCCTAGTTACATTTATAGTATTTAAAACTGTTATTAAAATTACAAATACTGTAGAAATAAAACGATGTTTCCTACTTTAAATAAACCACTTGAGTGTTTGTAAAGCTAATGAGAAATCATTTTAATTTTATTGCTAGGTTACGAATGAGTGATATTCAGTAATTTCATTGTATATAGTTGTCAGACTTGGGTCTGACACTTGCCATTATGTTTGCTAGTTGTAATTAATATGAATTACCAAATATCTACTAATTTCCTGTAAAAGGAGAATGAAATGGTGCACAGTATTCCTGCCTAATTTTCAGAAACTTATTTTCCCTCATTTATCACAACAGTGAATGAACAATTATTTGCCATTCCTTGTTGCAAGTGATTATATATGTACAAAGATACAGATGGGAGATTTATAACCCAAAGAGTAATAAAGGTCAAATGGATGACTAAGCTGTTCTAGATCTTGAAGAAAGGATTCATCATTCTTTACAAGTTATATTTAACTTAATAAGACTCTGGAGATAAGTATGACATCTGATCAGATTTTGGTTGGGAAAATCCATTCATTCTAGAATTACAGAACTATTTACAAGGCAGATGTAGTGGATATCCACGAAACGTTCAGATGTAGAATCTGTCGAACAAAAGTTTGTTATTGAAAGGTAAGCAGTAACATTACAATAATAAATAAACCAGAAAAATCCATAATTATATAAAATTCATATTGTATGAAATCTATATTATATAAAAACTATTTAAGAAGAGTTTACAAATTGTTCAGATAAAAATTATTGACATGGAGTGGGAAAAAATGGAAAAGAGAGAAACTTGGGAGAAACTCTCTTAAATGTGTCAGAGAAAAAGTATGGTGATCATCAACAATAGGAATTTAAATTCTCTTGTCCAGGAGGTGTCAAGGTGACTGGGTACTTTATGTGTAGTGCACACATGAGATATTAGACATAGGGAGAGCTCTTGTGTGACTTGTAAGTTTCCAGAAAGCCTGAAGGGGAAACAGCCTGAAAAATCACAGTTTAAAGGACTATGTAACCTTCATTTATAGAATAGTTTCCAAATTAAAAACTTCCTTTTGTGTGTCCCCATTTTCTCTTCAGCATAGAAGTGATAGTTTTAAGTTCTAAATTAAAGAAGTAATATTCATTGGTGTACCAAATAAGATTGCTAATTGGGGAAAATGAGAGAATATTTATTACATTTTGATTTTAGGGATATTGATGTGTGTGTATGTGTACATGTGTGTGTACATGTGTTTCAAATTTTTTTAATATAATATCTTACTGTCCTTCTCCATCTCTGTCATCACCTAGAATTGATAGAGTGTGCTCATTGTAGGGATTGCTGTTGATGGGAAGATTTTTCTCATACTCATTTATATGAATGCATGAATGCATAAGAGTAAGATTCTTTCTCTCTTTCTTTTTCTCTTTCTCTTTTTAATTTCCAGGCATAGATATTCTTCATCAACTAGGTCTTGGAGGCAACGATGTAAAATACTCATCATCAGTGACTGCGGTACCATCATCATCTACACCATTACCTCGGGGGGTCCATTTAACAGAATCAGGTGTCATTTTAACAAATAATGCTTATTTTGAGTCACCTCTCAGAATTTTACCAGTCAAGTTAGAACAGCCATTTACGATATTAATTGGGTTGCAGTCACATAGAGTAAACAATGCATTTCTCTTCAGCATTAGAAATAAAAATAGACTGCAATTAGGAGTACAATTATTACCTAAAAAATTAGCGGTATACCTTGGAGGAAAGCAGTCTGTATTTTTCAACTACAGTGTTCATGATGAGCAATGGCACTCCCTGGCAATTACTATTCAAAACCAAGTTGTCTCAATGTTTGTTGAGTGTGGAAAGAAATACTTTAGCAGAGAGACTCTTTCAGAAGTTCTGACCTTTGATGCTAACAGTGTGTTTACCTTAGGAAGTATGAATAATAATTCTGTCAATTTTGAAGGAATACTATGTCAGTTGGATATTGTTCCTTCTGCAGATGCATCTGCAAACTATTGCAGGTACATGAAACAGCAGTGTCGTCCTGAGACAAGGCTTCTTCATACAACTATTGTACCAGCTGAGATACCAGAAAACTCTCCTTTGCTTAAGCAGTTTGGTGAAAAAGTATTGGCAGAAGATACACTTAGTAAAGGCAAAAGTATTCCAAATATTATAAATAATGATTCTGCAACAGTGCATAAACAACAAGAGTACCAGATACCAAGATCTCAGTTAACTTCTCATCATTCAGGGAAGGTCTCTGCTGTGGATCTTGTGAGCCATGGGATTCAGTCCAAAGAAATGATCACTGAGGAACATACTCAGACCAATTTAAGCCTGTCGATGACCCATCATCGCTTCAATGAAGCAAGAACAAATAGCAAGGGGAAATTGAGTTCTCTCATAAATGTATCCAATAATATCACACAGCATGATGATAGAGTAACTGGGCTGTCACCATTTAAGAAGATACCATCTATTCTTCCTCATATAAAACAAGATACAATTGCTAATCTCCAGGAGACTATCACAGCAAATCTACACACTAATGAACTCATGGAACTACAACAGATTTCAAATACAACCTTACACAGAGTGACAGATGAGCCATCTGTGGATAATCACCTTGATCTAAGGAAGGAAGGTGAACTTGATCCTGACGCTACTTATGCCATCGAAAATAGCTATGAAAATGAGTTTTATGATTATTATTATTATTATGAGGATCTTAATACAATGCTGGAAATGGAGAATCTGAGAGGGCCAAAAGGGGATCCTGGACCTCCCGTAAGTTGTTATTGTTTTTAAAATATGTCTTAATGCACTAACTTAACATCCATTTCAAAAAGAATTCTCTAGACTGAACAATTCAGAAAAGAGCACATTTGTCTCAGAAGTATATCCTGGACACATGAGTGAATTTATGGTTCCTATAACACGTCTAACCAGAATGCAACCCTGGCTCAAAAATTGTACTTTTTTGTTTTATTTTTATTGGCAGGCTGAAAAGGTTACTTAATTCTGGTAAAGTGGTGAGTAAGCTATATGTTTTTCTTCTTCAGTTGAAATTCAACCAGGAATTCAACTGCTAAATACAGATCAGCATATTAAACAAAATTATAGGCTTAATGCATAGTCATGTTAAGAGAACAATATAAAAGTTATAGTAGAATAAAGAAAAATACAGATCAATTAAATATCCTTTCAGATAATAGTATTAAATGAATTAAAATAAGAGTGTAAAATTTATTTTAGTTAGAGATAATTTTGTAGTGAGTAACTGGGAAAAAGCTTTATCATTCTTAATGGAATATTTTAATTTCCATGGAAGGGCATATTCAAATTTGTCTTTAATGATAAAGTCAATTTACATTTAAGGATTAATAAAAATTCCATCTCCCCAATAAAAAATATAGACATTCAGCCCATCAGTCTATTCAATGAAAAAAAACAGCCAAATCACTTATTTAATAATGTCTGAACAAAACTACAAGATAATGGACTGATTTTTTTCAGCTCTGAAATTCTTTTGTTGTGTAGGTGCAATTACAGATGAATATTTGAAAAAGGTCTAAATCATTTAGAACTCTTAGCTATTTAAAACTACAACATTAGAAGCGTTATGCTTTTACCTTTCATATCCATAGACCTAAAGTTATCAGCCTATATGTTTTTAGAAATTGTTTTTAAGTTGCAAGTAGACTAAAATATATCTTAAAGTATTTTTTTATTTGATGGAAATAAAACTGGAGTCATTGTTTTAGTTCTAGGAACCACAGAATTGAAGAAGGTGATGTTTCTTGCTTAGCTTGTGTTTCCTTCGCGGCTATTACTCAAAGTGATTTGATAGGTTTTGAGAAGCTCTTATTAGAGTGAATGCTTAAAAGTTTTAAAATAAAATATGAAGAACATATTATTATAGAGAAATAATAATTTCAGCTATGACAATTAATTATCAATATATTAGTAATAAAATTTATGTACTGGATACTTCATATTAAATTAATAGTTATCAGAAGAAAACATCAGTATGATGAAATGAACATTAATCTTCTCTATGAATCCAGAAATAATCATTTCAACATTGGTAGGTGAAGCAGTAATATTTGACAGATTTTTTTTATTGAAGTATCATTAATGTACGATCTTACATTGGTTTCAAATATACAACACAGTGGTTTAACAGTTACCCATATTATTAAATCCTTACACCTACTAGTGTGGTTACTATCTTGACAGATATTTACTTAATCTCTGCTATGGGCAAAGCAGGAACACAAAATATGCCTAACCCAGTCAGTGCTCAGAAGGGGCTTACATTTCAATAACGGGAATACAAGAAGTACATTTATAATTATAATTCATGATGAAGTGATATAAATGCCACTGAGAGATACCAATTAAATATATGGTGTACAAACATTCAAAGGTAAGGAAAAAAGTTTTTAAGGGGATTCCAATGAAAGATCACTTAAGTTTGAGTTGTTCAGAATAGTTCTTGTGGACAAACTTAGTTATAACCTAGACCTCAAAGAATAGATATGATCTGATAGGTGAAAGGAACTGGTATAGTTTTCATATGGTAAAAAATAGCATAATAGCTATCATTTGACTTTTTACCTTGTGGTAGATGCCCTTTACATTGATTATATTAACTTAAAAGATTTCAGAGGTTGGTATTATTATCCTCATTTTTCAAGTGAAGAAATGGAAGTCTAGATAAGTAAATTTACTTGCTCATAACCACATTGCTAGTAAATGATACTGGCAATTTAGTCCAGGATTTGGACACAGGTTTTCTGTCTCTAAAGCTCAAACTCTTTCATGGTATTAGGCTCAACAATATTAGACATATATAAGACCCAAGTTAGATGTTGTAAGTTGTAGAGAGACTTAATTGTTAAACTGATAGTTCTAACTTTATCTTGTTCTTAGTGTGGAATTTTGCAGGTTTCAAAGCCGGGATATTTATTAATAGGGCAGTCAGCCTGGCAGCAGTCCCAGAACAGAAGGGAAGTTCCTGCAATTATCCTGATGTTTAAAGACTAGGACATTATCCAGAATGACAGCATTGAAATGCCAAGGAAAGTAAAATTTAAGAGATTTGAAGGAAAGTTTAGTAGAATTAGGAAATTAGTTGGACCTATGGACAAAGCAAAAAGGAAGAGAATCAAAGATGACTCTAAAGTTTTAAGCTTGTGGTTTGAGAGAATGGTGATACCATAACTAAAAACACTAATTAAGAGAGAGAGTTGCTTTAAGGATAGAAAACTAATTTGAAACATTTAAAGTACTATTGGCAATTCAGTAAGCCGTTGGATAAGTTGAAGAAGCTGAAGCAAAAAAGGTCAAAATAGGAGATAAAGATTTGGGAGTCTTCCCATCGATATTATAATTGAATCTACAGGATTGGATAATTTGCAAGGAATGGAATTTGCTATAGGGTCATGAGTCAAATCCTGGGGAATATTTGCTTTTGGATTATGGAAGAAAAAAGGCAGAAATGTGATAGAATAGTCAGAGAGATGGGAGAGAAGAATATATTGTACTATCACAAAAGCTAAAGAAGAGATTTGAGAAGAAACTGATCAGCAGTGCTAAAACTACAGAGAAATCAAAGGAGATGAGGACAGGGAAAAGGGTGGGGGGAGGAGAATCCATTGCATCTTCTGTGGGAAAATCATTGTTAAATTTTGAGAATCTCACTTCAGCACAGTTGTAGAAGACTAAAAGTAGATTTTAGAAAGCTAGTGAGAGAATGAATGGTGATGAAATGATGAACTTGGTCGAGGTTGTTCCACTGCTTTTTAAAGTGGATGTTAACTTTGTTGAGGCCAGCGTGCCTTTAATGATTTTCCAGTTTGTATTTGATCAGTTTTCCTTGCTTCTGACATGGCTTTCATTTATGCTGGCTTCTTTTTTCTCTTTCATATTTTTCTTAAGCTCTTATGGTTCACATTTCATTACCTTAGTTGTAATTTTTATCTCTCAGAACTCTTCTGTGAACTCTCTTATAGAAAAATAGCATTTGAAACTCTTTGAATCTACAGTGAACTATAGTCATTATAGTGACTGAACTTTTTCCTCTATTGCATGGAATAGTTCCTCATTTGGTAAATGATTTTCATTTATTTTAATTTATGTTTCTGTCCTCACACTTCCCCTCACTATTTCTAGATCCCTTGCTAGTTTCTTTCTGAATATTACTTATTTTTAAATAAATACAACTCTACCTGGGCCACTATTTGTTTTAGAATAGTATAGGAAGAGGCAAAGGGAAGTACGTGGGGTGGTACTCAGTGTCAAATGGAGGCAGCTGCCTTACATGCCATCCTACCATATTTATTCTGCCCTCTACCCAGTCACATAGCTCCTCCTGTTTGCATGTACAATTTGTTGTGAAGCCCTTTATATCACAGGCTTTCTGAGAAGTGATATGATTTATGCTCTTGTCTTTTACACTTTCTCACCACCAGATATCTCCTTGAGATTAGGAGATTTGGTTGTAGATTATAAAAATGGTGGGTTCTTCCTCCTCAGCTCTACCTTCCTTACTCTTGTCTGTTTGGGTCTTTACTGGGTCATGAATTATATTTCCTGTGGCTTTCCTATTCGCTTAAACCCCATCACTGCAATCAAAGGATTGGTGGAATGAATTTACCGGACTGGTGTGCTTTCAGATTTCTGCAGTCTGTCCAACGGCTGAGGGCCAAGAGGGTTTTTGTGTTTTTTTGTGTGTTTTGTCATCTTTCAACATCTTTCCTTGCCCCAGAGTTTCTCAGCATTTGGAAGATAATTTTCATATTTTGTGGTTTGTGGTTGTGGTATTTTCCTTGTTTCATTGGAGATGTTTTTTGTTATTTTTCAGGTGGTTTGGAGAGAGGGAGAGTAGTTTAAAAATTGTTGTTATTCTGTCATCTTTTACATAAATTCTCTAGTGTTCATTTTTAAAGCATAAATCAGATCATATCATTTATCTGCTTAAACTCTTCAGTGCCAAAATAAAAAGCAGTTATAATAAACTAAAAACTTTCATGACCTGTGTGGTCATATCTGATCTGGCTCCTGCTTAACTCTTCAATCCCATCTTGTTCCACTTTTCCTTACTCTCAGTATTAGGTCTCTTTTAGTTCCTCAATAAGACTATGTTTCTTGTTTTGTTTTGTTTTACTCATGCCCTCATTCATTTTATTCCTGTTTCTGGAACTGTATTTTCTCCTCTTTTCTGACTCCTATGCATCTTTTAGGTTTAACTTAGCACTTTCTCAGAGAAGTCTTTTCTGATACAATATAAATGAGGTGCACTGTGTTAATCTTTCTCTTGTTTGCTTGTTCTTTTCCTTCATATCACTAAGTAAAAAGTATAGTTATGTATTTATCTGTTAATGTGTGTCTTTTTCTCTACACTGTAAGTTCCAGGAGAGCTTGATGCTTACTAATTGTTTATTGAGTAGGTGAATGCACGAATTGGTAAATGAATTTAGAAAGGAATTTTAGATGCAGGGCTTCCAAGATAATTGACTGGGCATTACTCTCTTAGATTACATTTGCCTTAGTGTATGTATTACCATAGAAATAATAATATTATAACTAACATTAATTGAGTGATTGCTGTGCCCCATGCATACCTTAAAAAAATTAGCTACTATTTATCATACATAGTGACAGATATTTTTATACAATATCGTTAACACTCACAATAACCCTGAAAAGTAGGTTTTTATCAGTATCGTAAAGATGAGGAAACTAAAGCTTAGAAAGAGTAACCTATTTGTCCAAGTTCATTCAGCCACTAAATGATTAAGACATGATTTGAATCTAGATTGGACAATTACAAAACCATTGTGTTTAAATGGAATTATACTTTCTCTTACTGACCAATAATCTGAAAGTTAAAGTACGTTTTCTAGTAATTAAGTTTATATATAAAAAATTATTCTTCTCAAGAACAGTCATGCCATATAAAATTAATTTGCTTCTCTGGTTTCTAGAAGATGCCTATTTGTAACTTGTTCTCAAAAGATTTGGAAATGCAGAATTGTGAAGACCAGTTAAAATTGTTTTCATTTAATGCTTACTAAGCAATGAAAATATTTCAACATGATATAAAATAGACTTTCTTTTCCCCAATATCTAATACTAACTGTAATACTACTTTCTCAATGTGAAATAGTTTTTTTTTTTCACAAAGTGGTATGATAGGACAATAAACCAAACTGGACATTTGTTTTAATTTTCCATTTAGTTTTTCATTTTTATTTATTTTCTGGAACTTGATTTGAAATCAACAGCAGTTAACTTCTGATTATAGCAGCAGAATCAGAACTTATTTGAAAAGAATTTCAATTAAAAAAAATAAGTGAAGGTCAATTTTTGATGGATGCTAGTGATATAATAATAGCTGTTGAAGTATTTGAATTGCTTAGGAAGGAGAATACCCTCAGTTTGGGGTTTAATAGAAGTAGTTACTTCTCTCTCAATATTAGGAAAAACATGAAAGGTTTTTATCAAGTATAGTGTAGGAGAAAGAAATAATACACTTGAAGGACAATGGATTTTTCCTTCAAATAGAACTGCAAAATTACTATAATTCAATAAAGGAGAAGATTTCAAAGAGTAGTTAATATCAAGAGTTATGAAAAAATTAATAAAAATGTGGCTCATTAGGTCATGCTACTAATTAATGGTAGGGCTACTTTGATATGTCTAATTGCAATGCTCATACTATTTTACTGCCCTGTTAATGAATATTTGTAAAACGGAATATGTGTATTTTCTAGAGATAGCAAGCATCATTCCCTATCAGAGTGCTCAGTAACAATTAAATGAATGAACAGATGAAAGAATGAATATATTAACCACATCCCAAATGAACATTTATTCTTCCACTGCTGATTATTAAAGGAAGAAGATAACATAAGGCATGAAGCAAAGAAGTAGTTTCCTATCTAATAAGCTAAGTGTAAAGAACTCAGGACACCTTAAAAATTTATCACTTTTTGCTTTCACACTTTGTTTTACAAACCATTTAATTCTATTAGAGACTACCTGGTATGGTATGCTGCATTTGGTATAAAGCAGATTTATTACTGAATATACTAGAAAGATCTCACTATAAAAGTTTAACTCATTACACAGGTCCTTGGTATAAGTCTTTTAAAAGAACGTAAAATTGTGGGTGCTCTAATTTTTAAAGGCAGGCCTTCTTTTGAAATGTGTTTGAAAAAACCTGTAGTTGCTGGTCTCCAAACCCTAAATTGAATTCCTCTTTCAGTAGCAAAAGTAAATTTAGGTAAAAATTACCCACAAAACTACTAGTTATGGTGTCTGTAAAAACCAGATAAAGTGGCTATAACCATAAGTCATAGACTTCCTGCTGCCGTTTCTGGCCAGATGAAAGAGCACACTTGGGTCTCAGCTCTCACCCCTGCTGATTAGAATGAGGGGATTCATGTTACTTTAAAAATCATCATCAGCTGGGAACTGGGGACTGAAAATGAGCCCTGGAGTGAGCATCTTAATAAGGCTTGTGAAAAAATATGTGTCTGTTATCATGCTTAATATCTTGGCATTTATTTCCCAAGGGTCCACCTGGTCCAATGGGTATCCCAGGTCTGGCAGGGAAAAGAGGTCCACGGGTGAGTAGATGGGCTCCTTTTCCCGCTTGCTATTAAAGCTAGTAACTTTCCAGTATGTTTTTTGTTGTATTGTACAGTATGTGCTTCCTTTGGAAACCTGCCTAGTTCTTCAAACTTAGCCCTACTTTGCCAATTTAAGGGAAGCTTAGGAGTTCCTGCAGTTTATTTACTTGAATTTAAACACCCAGCCAAAGCATTCTCTGTGAACTTGCCAAAGAACGATTATCAAATTTGTAGATTAGTGGTTGTTCGAATGGTGCTACTTGTAACATTATTCTTAGTTATGAAGTGATCTCATCTGTAGTTGATCGTCCAAGGTGGGGTTCATTTGCTTTGGGAAATGAAGAGGAGTGGGCTGCCTTAAAATAGCACATTCCTGGGTTACATAGTGGAAAATACTGGAGCTATTGACTAGAAAAATAATTGTCCTGATGAAAAAAGCTGCCTTAAGGATCAACAGTAGTGTCTCACGTTACACAGATTCAATGAAAGATTTATTGCTGTGTTAGAATTAATTTCTTTCAAACCTAAAAAATAAAGGTGGACTTTTACTACCAAAAATTCTTCAAAGAGTGAGAAAAAGAATTAGGCATTTTAAAGACAAATGCAAATACCATATATAATACATTTTCTTTTTATCCTGACTTTAATTTCTCATATAAACAATATGTTCACCACCCAACATAAAATATTATTTTATGTTGTCCATATTCACATCAAACTCCTGTCTGTGTGAGGCCTAAGATGAATGCCCTCTGGGTCCTAGCTGTTCTTTAGCATTTCTTTTATCTCTACATAATTAATGGCAATCACATTCCTCCCAGGGTCTCTTCTGAACCTTGCCCATTCTCCTTTAGAATTAATTCCATTCCCGATTCATTACTAAGGCTGTTCCTCTTCCACAGCACGACCTTCAGTTTCTGAATCTTCATCTAGTCTCACAATTCAGCAGTATCCTTCCCTAGTTTCCATCTTTTTTTTGGACTTTTCCAATCCTTCTTTCATTAAGGAAGGAATAGTATTCTTCTTAAGACTCATTATTACATTTGTGTTCCTAATTTTATCTCCATTCAATTATTTAACTTAAAACTTGTAATTTCTCATTTTTTCTCTTCCTAGGTTTTATCTCCTTTGGCAACAGACAATACATTGACCCTTTAAAAAAATTCTGAACTTCATTAATAGGACTTTTTCCTAAAGTTATTATAGCTGTTTACTCTTGTACTACTGAGCTTTGTGAAATAATAGTTTATACCCATTACCCTTATATCTAATTAATAGGTCACTTGTTAATCCCCATAAGTTTTTCCATCTACATTATTACAATTTATTTTTTGAACACAGTTGCTTGTACATAGTAGGTACTCAGTAAATAGAAGTAGTTATTCAATTTAAATTGACATTCATTGAGTGACTACTAAGTGCTAAATACTACATTGGTAATATTAATAAGTCTCTTTTCAAAGAATTTATAATCGGGCTAAGCAGCATGTCAGTAAGGTAATTCATATAACAATAAGATGTTTAAATAACAGATTAGAGCTGTATAAAAATTGTCTCAAAGCAATATACAGTTGATTGAAAATACATTTTACATTCATCAATTTCTATGGAAGTTAGTAGGAACGAGAAACTGCTTCATGCTAGTGTACCCAAGATTTAAAAACGATGTGGGATATCAGGTGGCACTTGAATGATTTGGGTAGGTGTGATGGGGCAAGGTTACATGAAGTCAGTCTTTAAGGCATACATAGTAGCATAAGCAAAACTCCAAGTGCAGACAGGGTTAATACGTGTATTTACTCACAAGTACACTGTTATTTTTAGGTTTCTTTCTCTGCACAGCTTTGACAAGTAGCATTAAGAAAGGTGGCTGGAAATGGGGGTGGTAAATAAGAGGGGTAAACATCTTGAAGCAGTGTTTTGAAGCAAAAGATGGAAACCACAGATCTGCTCTCAGATTAGTGTAGCTCTCCTTTCCAAGACTGAAATATCCAATATCTCAGAAAATATAAAGAATTTTGTTAAAAAAAGGCAATGTTTATATTAATGAAATTATATTAAGTAATATTTATTTGAATGTTATAATAAACACTATGAATTGTATCTGGATCTGTTCTAAGAATGATCTGACTTCCTTACTATTTGCAGGGCATACCAGGGCCACATGGAAATCCTGGGTTACCTGGATCACCAGGTCTAAAAGTGAGTGATTAACAGTATCACATCATTTTCCTGATATTATTAAAAATGGTTCTTTTCTTTTTAAATGAGGCAGAATTGAAATACAATATTAGTTTCAGGTGTATAGCATAATGACTTGCCACTTGCATACACTGAAAAATCAGCACCACAATAAGCCCAGTCACCATTTGTTACCATAAAAAAATTACCAAAAATGTCTTTTTCTTGCGATGAGAACTTTCACAATCCGCTCTCCCAGCAACCTTCAAATATACATTACCATACCATTGACTCTAGCCACCATGCTACACACCACATCCTGTAATTTTTGCATTTCACAACTAGAAGTCTATGCCTCCCTATGCACTTCATCATTTTACTTATTCCTCCCTCCCACCCGCCACCCCCTCAATCACCATTCTGTTCTCTACATCTATGAGTTTTAGTTGTTTGTTTTGTTTTTAGATTTTACATATAAGTGAGATCATTGTGATGTCTGTCTTTCTCTGATTTATTTCACTTAGCATAATGCCCTTTAGGTCCATCCATGTTCCAAATGGCAAGATTTCCTTCTTTTTTTGTGGCTGAGTAGTTTCCATTACACACACACACACACACACACACACACATACACACATACACACAGACATATACATGCACCACATCTTTATCCATTCTTCCATCAATGGGCACTTAGTATGTTTCCATATCTGGGCTATTATAAATAATACTGCAATGAACATAGGAATATATATATCCCTTTTTGTGTTAATGTTTTCATTTTCTTCAAATACTCAGAAATGGAATTTTTAGATCATACGGTAGTTCTGTTTCTAGTTTTTTGAGGTCCTTCCATACTGTTTTTCATACTGGCTGTACCAAGTTGCATTCCCACCAACAGAGCATGAACGTTCTCTTTTCTTCACATGTTCACTGACACTTGATATTTCTGGTATTTTTGATAATTGCCATTCTAACAGGTATGAAATGATACCTCATTGTGGTTTTCATTTGCATTTCCCTGATGATTAATGGTTTTGAGCATGCTTTTATGTGCCTATTGACCCTCTGTATGTCCTCTTTGGAAAAATGTCTATTCAGATCCTCTGCTCATTTTTTTAATTGGATTTGTTTTTTATTTTTGCTGTTGAGTTGTATGAGTTCTTTATCTATTTTGGATTTTAACCCTTTCTCAGATATATGACTTGCAAATATTTTCTCTCATTCTCTGGGTTGTCTTCATTTTGTTGATTTTTTTTGCTGTGCAGAAGCTTTTTAGTTTGATGCAGCCCCACTTGTGTATTTTGCTTCCGTTGCCTTTGTATTTGGGATCAGATCCAAAAAGTATCACCAAGACTGGTGTCAAGGAATTTACTGCCTGTGTTTTCTTCTAGGAATTTCATGGTTTCAAGATTTACATTCAAATTTTAATCAATTTTTAGTTGATTTTTGTGTATGGTGTAGGATAGTAGTCTAGTTTCATTCTTCTGATGCGGCTGTCCAGTTTCCCCAGCACCATTTATTAAAGAGTCCATCCTTTCTCTATTGTATATTCTTGGCACTATTTTCATAAATTAGTTGACCATAAATGTATGGGTTTACTTCTGTGCTCTCTATTCTTTTCCATTGATCTATGTGTTTCCTTTTGTGACAATAATACACTATCTTAATTACTATACCTTCATGTTATGGTTTTAAATCAAGGAACACAATGCCTCCAGCTTTTTTCTTTTTTCTCAACATAGCTGTTTGGGGTCTTTTGTGGTTCCATACAGATTTTAGGATGATTTTTCTATTTCTGTGAAAACTGCCATTGGAATTTTGATAGGGGTTGTATAATCTAGATTATTTTGAGAATTTGAACATTATAACAATATTAATTCTATCAATCCATGAGTATGGAATATCTTTCCATTTATTTGTGTCTTCAATTTCTTTCATTAATGTCTTAGTAGTTTACAGAGTGTAGGTCTTCCACTGTCTTGTTTAAATTTATTTTGAGATATTCTTTCTGATGCAATTGTAAATGGGATTCTTTTCTTAATTTCTCTTTCCTATAGTTCATTGTTAATGAATAGAATGCAACATATTTTTGTACATTGATTTGTACAATATTAGTTTATTTATTTCTGTACAAAAGTTTTTCCTGAAACTTTACTGAATTCATTTACTATTTCCAACAGTTTTTGATAGTCTTTAGGGTTTTCTGTATATAAAATCATACTATCTGCAAATAGTGAGTTTTACTTCTTCATTTCCAATTTGATGCTTTTTATTTCTTTTTATAGCCTAATTGCTGTGGTCAGGGCTTCCAATATTATGTTGAATAAAAGTAGTGAGTGAGCATCCTTGTCTTGTATCTAATCTTACAGGAAAAACTTTAAGCTTTTCACCATTGAATATGATCCTAGCTGTGCATACATCTTTTAAATCCATCTGGCCTACTGTGTTGTTTAAGTCCACTGTTTCCTTATTGATTTTCTGTCTGGATAGTCTATCCATTGATGTAAGTGTCCTGTTCAAGTTTTCTACCATTATTATATTACTGTCAATTTCTCTCTTTATGTTAATTTTTGCTTTGTGTATTTAGATGCTCCTTTATATATGTATGTTTGGACTGACCCCTTTGTCATTATTAATGCCTTCTTTGTCTTTTATTACAATCTTTGTTATCTCTCTTTTAAAGTCTTTTTCTTTGTTTGTTTGACATAAGTATACTCCTTTTTACTTTTGGTTTCTGTTTTCATGAAACATCTTTTTCTATCCCTACACTTTCAGTCTGCATGTGTCCTAAGTGAGTCTCTTAGAGGCAGCATATATATATATATATATATATATATACAGGTAGGTAGATAGATAGATAGATAGATCTGTTTTTTTAAATCCATTCAGCCACTCTATGTGTTTTGATTAGGAAATGTAGTCCATTTACAGTTAAAGTAACTATTGGAAGGCATGCACTTATTGTCATTTTGTTCATTGTTTTCTGGCTGTTTTGTAGTTCCTTTCTGTTCCTTCTTCTTTTGCTCTTGTCCCTTATGGTTTGATGACTTTGTTTAGTATTATGCTCAGATTCCCCTCATATTATCTTTTGTGTATCTACTATAGACTTTTGCTTTGTGGTTGCCATATGGATCACATATGACAGCCTATATATATGTGTATATATATATATATATATAAATAATATATGTAACACTCTATTTTATGTTGATAAAAACTTAAATTTGAGTGCATTCTAAGCCCTGCCCCATGTTTTATGTTTTTGATGTCACATTTTTAAAAAAGTAAAAATTTTCATATTTTATGTATCCCGATTATTTTTATAGTTTTTTACTACTTTTCTCTTTTAACCTTGATACTAGCTTTATTAGTTATTGATCCACCACCTTTATAATATAGTTTCCTTTACCAGTGAAATTTTTACTTTCATGTTTTCTTGTTACTAATTAATGTATTTTTTTCCACTTAAAAAGTCTTTTTAACATTTGTTGTAAGGCTGATTTAGTGATGATGCACTCTGGTAGCTCTGCTTCTCTAAAAAAAACTCTCTCTTCTTCCCTTCTAATTATAACATTGTTGGGTAGCATATCCTTGGTTGAAAATTTTTTCCTCTCAGCACTTTGAATACATTGTGCCACTCCCTTCTGGCCTGGAAAAAACTTATGCTGAATAATCTGCTTCTAGTTTTATGGGGACTTCCTTGTTTTTCTCTTGCTGCTTTTTACATTCTTTCTTTAACTTTTAACATTTTAATTATAATATGTCTTGGTATCTATCTTTTTGGGTTCATCTTTTCCAGAACTCTCTGGGCTTCCTGGATCTGGATGTCTGTTCCCTTCCCCTGGCTAGGGAAGTTTTCAGCCATTATTTCCTCAAATAAGTTAGAAGGTCTTTAACTTATAAAGTCAATCTTGGTACATTGAGGATCCCTGTTATCTCCAGAGCAATAATATAGTCTTGGCCTGGCAGAGACGTCCTTTTCCCTGAAAGTGTACTACACTTTGAGATTTATATGATTTATCGTAAAGTCAAGTAAAGTCTTGCTTTGGTATTCCAAAGCCTTTATTGTCAAAATATGATGACAATATATGGAAACTTCTGAAACATACAGATTATGATTTGAGTAGTTTACCTTAAATCAAGACCATTTCAATGTGTAAATAAATAGTGAGGAAATAAAAGCTCATTTGTCTTCCTGTTTCATATTCCCCTGATATTTTCATGTGAAAAAAGACCTGTGAGGATATTTAGAGAATAATCAAGTTTTTATGATAAATAACCTTAGAGCCTATATTTCTGAGCATATATAGTAGTATGATAGATAATAGTTTGATAGATAGTTGTATGAGTAGAGAAAAAAGAGTAGTAGAAGCATATGTACCAGGCTGGTTACCTTGAGAGGAGGTACAAGAATGGAGAGATAATTTATATACATATGGGATTAGTTAAGCATTAGGGTCTTAGTTGCTAGTAACTTTATGAACCTTTTCAGTTCATTAATTACCCTTTTGCTTATTATGGTCACACTCAGAAGTAAACATATGATAATAAAAGATAGGGGTTAAGAACACAGGTTTTGGAGGCTGACGGATTTGGGCTCAAGTCTTAGCTTTCCAGATTTGGAGGACTAAAAGCAAATTACTTGCTTAGCCTCTTTCAACTTACTTTGCTCTTCTAAAAAATGAGGAAAATCATAGTACATCTTCATAAGGCTGCAGTGAAAGCTAAATAATTTAATGTGAGTAAAGCAGTTAGTATAATACTAGAATGTGAGAAATCCTATCACTATTAATAAGTAATAGCATCATATAATTAGGATAACATATATAAATTTCCTGAAGTTTTTTTTATCATTGCCAACAATTTTATGGGCTCAATAAAAAATGCTCAGAGATTAAAAAGACTGTCTAGTTCAAGTCTAGAAGTTTAACAGTGAGAGAAAAGACAGTTAACTTCTAAAGAAATAATTTGTTTTTTAGTTTGTGATTCTCTAGCCCTTCAAGATTTATTTGGGGACT